AGAGAGGTTTGGTGTTTTGCTTTTTACCTGCACGCGTCTGCGAGGCTTGCCTCGTAGGCTCTTCCTTTTCAGCTTCTTGCAAGCCACGGGCAGTTATTGCCGCCGCAAACCGGAACCAGGAAGCAGCTGCCGAGCAAAGCCGAAAGAAATCCACTTCTGCCGCTTCCTCTCGCTGGCCAACTGTGGTTAATTTATCTTTTCTGCTCTTCGCTCTCCTCTGCCGCCGTGCGTCTTGGAAGACTAGCTTCTTGATAGGAGAGAGAGAGGGAAAACTCCAAGACCGCCTTGTGTTTTCATGGAAATATATATGGTCCTGTTGGAAGATATGAGAAACTCAATATGAAAAGAGCAGGGAAATTCCCCTAAAAGAAATAAGCAGAAACTCAGTCAGTTTCAGCCCCCACCTTTATCAATGGGCCATTAAGAACCTGAAGCCACCCTATTTTCCACAACAAAGGAAGGACAAAATTACAGGGGCCTGCAGATATGGAACTACAGGAAAGAAAAACAAACACCCAAAAAGGAAAAGAAATCAAGCCAAAGTAATTTAAACACATGAGAAAAAGGAGAAAACACAGAAATAGCAAGCTGAATAATTATAGGGAACGAACAACTACAAAGGGCTGGGAAAAACAGAGAGTGGACTATAAAACAATTATTTATTTGCCAGATCCAGGATGGAAGAATCCAATCACAAACAAAAACAGGATTTCAACACCATAAAACAATCACACACACAAATCAAAGGATTTACACGCCAAATCAAAAGAATTTCAAAAGACTTTAAAGGGTCACATAGAAAATCAAAAGACGTTTTAGGATATAAAAAAGGGTTACTCTTACAGTGCAAACAGAACGCTGTGCTTGTATTTGTTTCTTGCCTGCCTTCCTATAAACAATAAACTAATTCTGCTCTCAAGCAGCTGACCTCCAATCATTGGCGAAGTAATCTCCCAGCCGGGAGTTTTGAATTTAAGAAGGGAAAGCTCTGCCTTCTGACAATCCTTAAAGGGAAAGGCTACTTTTTCCTTCCAACAGTCCAAAATGGGATGATCGGTCAGAATTTTGTAATTCGAGTACAGGAGCCCAGACCTCTTCATCAAGCGAAGCGGTCCTGGAAAGTTTGCAAGCCACTTAGTGACAGTGACATATTGATATTAGGTGTACAATATTTTGGTATCCTTTTGAAGGGACATAATAATAATAATAGAACAGGTAGAATTAGTGGGACATAATAGTAGAATCAGTAGAATTGGTTTGACTTGCTGTTTTGCTTTTGTAAAAATTTCTTTGCTAAGAATTAGAACTCCCTCTGCCATTTGCTTCTGCCATTTGATCTCACCCCTTTGTTATTTCGTTTTTCTGTACCACTCCCTGCCTGGTGGATATCTCAAGAAGTGGGGTTGCTGGGCATCCACCCACCCCCCTTCCTTGCTGCACTGCCAAAGGAAGGGATGGGCCAGGGGGCCAGCATTGAGTACTAAGCTGATATCTCAGAAGGTATAAAAGGACACCATACCTTCCCCAAGGTGTGGCTATCTCCTCACATGCATTGTATCTGTATGTTCTGTATATAGTCCCACCCAGTATTTTGTTTTTGGCCATAAATAAAATCTGCTTCTTTTTGCAAGCCTCATCTTGAGTCTCTCTCTGGCATTCTGGTGACTCAAGTACATTTTGGGCAGTGGTGGGTTTCAAAAATTTTTACTACTGGTTCTGTGGGTGTGGCTTGGTGGGCATGGCATGGCTTGTTGGACGTGGCTTGTTGGGTGTGGCGAGGGAAGTATACTGTAAAATCTCCATTACCTCTCCACTCCAGGGGAAGGTTACTGCAAAATACCCATTTCCTCCCAATTAGCTGGGACTTGGGAGGCAGAGAATAGATGTGGGCGGGACCAGTCAGAATTTTTATTACTGGTTCTCTGAACTACTCAAAATTCCCACTACCAGTTCTCCAGAACTGGTCAGAACCTGCTGAAACCCACCTCTGATTTTGGGACCTTACACTTTTAAATCATAAGGTTTCATTTTTTCATCACCTGGTATTTTCATTTATCATATTTACCAGAAAATTTCTAAATTTTCTAAAGTACAATGATAAAACCAAACTCATTCAATAAATTTAACAATCAGACGATTATCTTCTGGGACATGCAGAAGAATTTGTTGAATCCATCAAATAAAATTGCTTGGATTCATTCCTGCTTAGAACCTTTGACTTGTCGTTATGAGATGCCCAATAATTTGGGAACAGTTTGTCCCTGTTGGACCTAAGGAAGTGGACAGGATCATCTATTTTCTCAATGTAACTACCAGTCAACTAGACCCTTGTCCATCCTGGCTGATGAAAGCCTCCAGGAGGGTGACCAGCAGATGGGTTCATGCATTCATCATTGCAAAAAGATACATTCCTGGGACCTTTTAAGACCCTGGTTTGTCCTCCCTTTAAAAAAGTCACTCAACCCCTTTCATGCAATCTCCCATCTTCCCTTTTTTGGGGGGAAGGTGGTAGAAAAGGTGACTGCTGATAAGCTTCAGGGAGTCCTGGATGAAATAGATTTCCTGGACCCTTTTCAGTCAGAATTCAGACCCAGCTATAGGACAACCCTGGATGTACTAAAGAATGATCTCTGGTGGGAGTGGAATGATAGTGCAACCATTCCTGCTCTCCTAGACCTCTCAGCAGTCTTTGATACTATCGATCCTGGTATCCTTTTAGGCCAGCTACACAAGCTGAAGCTGGGAAGCTCTGTTTTGCGCTGGTTCATTCCTCCTTCCAAGGTCAGACTCAATAAGTGTTAATAGGATCCATCCCCCGACTGCTCACTTGTAGCATCCCACAGGACACCATACTCTGTCCTTTTAAAATATCTACATGAAACTATTAGGTGAGATCATCTGTCACCATCGGTTGAGATATCATACTCAGTTCTACACATAGTGACTGCACACATACACAAGTGATGATGTTTCTGCCCACTCATGATGCCTGGAGGCTGTAAAGAGCTGGATAGAGAAGAACAGTCTGACTGAACTCTGGAAAGATTGGGTGGCTTTGGCTGCATGGTTTCAGGATCCAGGTTTTTGTCATCCTTAGTTCTGGACATGGTTACACTACCTCATTTAGACCCAATTTGCAACTTAGGGGTTTTCCTGGACTCATGTCTCCTGCTTGAAGAGCAGGTGGCAGATGTGGCTAGGAGAGCTTTTGCACAACTCTTATTTGTGTACCAGCTGTGAACTTTCCTTGACCATGACTCCGTGTCCATTACTCAAGCCTTAGTCATCTCATCTGGATTAATGCAAAAGCTCTACATGGGACTATCCTTGAAATCTGTTTGGAAGCTTCAGCTGGTACAAAGTATGGCAGTAAGAATAGTCTTTGGGGCCTCTAAGATGGGTAGGTGGAGAGCATGGGGACAAAATATATTACATCTCTGCTTCGTGACTCCTCTGGCTACCAGTCTGCTTCCAAGTACAGTTCGCGGTATTGGTTATGACCTTTAAAACCCTTAATGGCCTAGAGGTCCAGGCTACCTGATGAACTGTATCATCCTTTCTCGGACAAGCCAATCCTACTCATGCTGGCAAACAGGGCCTATTGCAGACCCCGTGGTCAAAGAACTCCAACTATTGGGATCCAGAAGAGCCTTCTTTGTGGCTGTGCCTGCCCTTTGGAACATCCAACCCTCTAAGGCAAGATCTGTTCCCACTTTCTACCCTTCTGCAGGAGTCTGAAGACTTAGTTCTGCCAGTTGGCCAGGGGACCAAATGGGGTTCTATGTTGGAAATGGCTGCTGGATTTATGGCACACTCCACCTCCCCGCTTGCCCTCTGCTTTCCATTCATCCATCTTTTTGTTGTTGTTTCTCTATCAGGGTGCAAAGAGAAAATATCTGCTGCAAATTCTGGGTAGGGTCAGGCAGGGCATCTGGCCAGCAAATACTCAGCTCTTCTGTCGCCAACTCCACCCCTAAACAAGTTAGAACCAGACTGATTGGTTCAAAATAGGGAAAATAGTATCACAAGGCTATATTGTCACCCTGCTTATTTAATTTATATGCACAGTATATCAAGCAAAATGTTGAGCTGGATGAATAACAAACTGGAATTACGATTGCTGGGAGAAATATCAACAACCTCAGATATGCAGACAATATCATTCTAATGGCAGAAAATGAAGAGGAAATAAAGAGCCCTTTGATGAGGGTGAAAGAAGAGTGTGCAAAAGTTGGCTTGAAACTCAAGATTAAAAAAACCAAGATTATGGCATCCAGCCCCATCATTTCCTGACAAATCAAAGGGGAAAGAAATGGAAGCAGTGACAGATTTTATTTTCTTGGACTCCAAGATTACTGCGGATGGTGACTGCAGCCATGAAATTGAGATGCTTGCTCCTTGGGAAGAAAGCTATGGCAAACAGCATATCAAAAAGCAGAGATATCAACTTGCCATCAAAAGTCTGTATAGTCGAAGCTCTGGTTTTCCCAGGAGTAATGTATGGCTGTGAGAGTTGGACCAAAAGGAAGGCTGAGAGCTGAAGAATGGATGCTTTTGAATTGTTGTGTTGGAGAACACTTTTGAGAGTCCCTTGGACTGCAAGATCAAATCAGTCAATCCTAAAGGAAATCAACCCTGATTATTCTTTGGAAGGACAGATACTGAAGCTGAAGCTCAAATACTTGTGCTATCACATGAGAAAAGAGGATTAATTGGAAATTACCCTAATGTTGGGAAAAATTTGAAGGCAAAAGAAGAAAGGAATGGCAGAGAACAAGGTGGTTAGTATCATTGATACGGTGAGCATGGGTTTGGGCAGACTCCAGAAGACAGTGTAAGATAGAAGAGCCTGGTGTGCTGTGGCCCATGGGGTCACAAGGAGTCGGACATGACGTAACAAAGGAAGAACAAGAAACCCAGCTAGTTGTCATTTAGTCAGAAAATGGGCTTAGCATGGTGGGTGATCCAACTCAATAATTAATGTCATACAACACATGATATAAAGACACAAACTTTATATCGTATCTTGAATTTTCATATTTCCTGAGAAAATATGCTATTAAAACAGAGTAAAATATTTTATTCAAGCTGCATTATCTAGGAAGGTTTTTAAATTTAAAAACTTTCTTAGCACACAATTGAGCTTGATATTGAGAATATTTCACTTAGATAATTGAAGACATTTTTGCTTATAAAGTATTCTGCAAAGAAGCATATTTTTCTACTTAAAACTTGAATTATACATGCTTAATTTAAGCTAAAATCCACTACATACAACTACTGTGAATCCACATTTCTTTAGCATTTTAATACTTATTTAATCAAATAAGAACATTTATCCTACATAAGCATATTTAAAAGGTGAAATGCAATGAATAATTTCCATTCAAAAACATTTTGTACTATAACAAAAATTATGTATCTTTTTCTATGTTCTTTCTTATATATTCAAGATGCTCATGTCAAAAAGGTTTTCTCATTTAGCAATCTATTTCAACATTAAAAAAAAATTCTAACTCTATTTTCTAATTCTAACTACACTACACAATTTAATGGAACCTAACAGTTAGTATCCCAAAAAAGATAACCAAACTCTGAAAGTGATACAAAACAACCTATTTCTCATTAGAACTATTGTAATTTCTATTCATTTATCATATTAATAGTGGACCATAAGTGGGAAAGACATCTGTCCTTTTAAGAACAGCTGGTTGTCATCACAGAATAAATTAATTTATTATTTATCCTAGGTTCTTAAAAACACTGATAAAATTATATACTGTTTGGTGCCAGAGTAAATATTTTGTTGTTATTTTACATGTTTTCAATATGATTTCATCTTGGATCTGTCTGAAATTTGTTCTTATTTTGTTGTTAATTCAGTTTTTAAAATTTAACTTACTTTGTCAAACCAATCTATTTTGATAAGTTATGATATATACAGTCTAAAATAAATACAAACATTCCTATTAAAGACTGTTTCTTGCCCAACCTAAAGCAGAAAATTATGCAAATTATTAATGTAATTTTATTCATATTTAAACAATGTACCGCACCTGAACATATTTAAATGATAACACCCATGGTCCTCCACATATAGTAAAATTCTACAAATATGCAGTATCATAGAAGCACAGTCAATAAGATTCCTTGTTCATAGTCTAGTTCTGCAGCATTTTTTTCTCCATGTGGTCTGATAGCCAGAACTTTATCAATCATACTAATTAACCTCTCCCACTAACCCATGGGGATGCAACAAAGTAAACATGACAATTTTACACTGAAGAATTAAATTGCTTCCAGTTTAGCTGATGTTCCTATCTGCTTTTCCTTCAACTTTTTCATTTTCCTGTTGAACATATTGGTCCAGCAATGAACTGAGGTGAACAGAGCCACGATGCAGAAGTCTGCTAGTGTGGGATGTCATGAGTGAGAATACACCTGCAGTTTCTCCCTGGGCAGTTACTATAGATGGTAGCTTAGAATAATTTACAAAGCCTTGCTTGCTTAGGATGACATTGTCGATGCAAGCTCCTGGAAAAAAAAATGAAACAAAAACATTCAAGTTAGTATAGAAATCTATATATTACTAAAATTCTCTTTCCTGTAATCGTTAATTGGGCAAAACAGAACACTATACCGCAAAATGTTTTGAACCAAGGTATTTTAAATGGTCTAACTTACAAAAATGTCCAAAATTCAGGATCCATGGAATTGAAATTTGGCAAATTTTATAACACATTTTTCATGTAAATTGCAACCTCCCCATGTAAATGTTCATGTAATTGTTCATAAAACAATTTATACTGATGTTTCACTGTATCATACAATGCAACATGGGCTAACTTCAAGGCAGATGCAGAATGTATCTCAACTTTTCCAGTGAAGACTGTACATTACAAGCTATGTCTGTCAATCAATCAATCAATCAATCAGAACAGAGCTGGAAAGGACCTTCCAACTCCCTGCTCAAGCAGGAGACCCTATACCATCTCAGACAAGTGACTGTCCGGTCTCTTCTTAAAAACTTTCAGTGATGAAGCACCCACAACTTTTTATGGCAAGCTGTCATGGTTGAAGAAATTGAAAAAATCTGGTAAGGAAATATTTCTGAAAGAATGACACAAGAGATCACAAAAGACTGTTTGCTTTAAATATTGTAGAATTTAAATTTAACATTTCTCCCCCAAACAGATGGTAAGTTATAAAAAGACAGACTGAGGTGGTGACTGAATGTGATCAGAAGAAAACAGATTGCACCAAAAGTTTTATCTAAAAAATAGTCTAGTAACATATTAAATAAATAAAATTGGTCACACAATCACATTTGCCTAAAATAGGCAATTAGTTTTCCACTGCGCAGCACTATGTACATCCACATACTCAGTAGTAAAAAGGTATTCTATTACAGTTTTCAAATACTTGAAAGGTCCCATTGGAACCTCAGTTCCATAGGATTAAGAGAACAAACAACAAAACCCCTCTTCACAAGAGACCAAAGTGGGGAAAAGTCTGTAAGTAAGGAATGAATACCCTGTTTCCTCCAAAATAAGACATCCCCTGATAATAAACCCAATTGGGCTTTTGAGCACATGGCAATAAGGCCAAGTGCTTATTTCAGGGTTCAAAAAAAATATAAGACAGGGTCTTATTTTCGGGGAAACACAGTATTTTCTCCCTAATTCCTTGTGAGATTATACTACAGAGACCTAAGGAGAATTTTTCAGCTTTAGTCTCTTGCATTTAACTTTCTCTTAGAAACTAAGGGGGGGGGAGGTTTAGTCCCTCGTGGGCAGGTTATTTTCCCCTTAGTCATTAAGATGCACAAGAAAAGGTAGGGTTTCTCAACAACCTCCACCCTTCTACATCAGGAGTTCTGCAGATTTTTTTTTTAATAAGCAGCTTCCATTACCTCAATTTTTTTAAAAGAAATACCCTGTCCTATGGCTATAAAGTAAGTTGTGAACCATGTCTCTTCCAGGTACTTCAACTGTATTTAACTAATCTGCCTCTTCTACAATTTCTTTTCCAGTTAGTTATCTAACTCCATCATAGGAACTTTCTCCACTTTGGATACTTCCAGACACCTACATTGCAAACATTGGTGAGAACTCTGAGAGTTAAAATCCATAAACATGAGAAATGTCTAGATTGGAGAAGGGTGCTTATCCTACCCATCCCCCTATTGATTCCTAATCTAAACAATCTGATTTTGATTTTTTGTTAATCAAAAAATGTTTTAAGACCTCTCAGTAAAAAATGAAGCATCCAGTATCGCTGCAGACCTCATCCCTTACCTAACATATTAATCTGTGGCACACGCTTCAGGACTTGAAGTGTTTCCCGAGCCTTTGTTTCCATACTGACAAGTAGAAGGTTGCGTTCCACAAAAAGAGGGAGGAGATTCTTGTATTTCGATTCCGAAAGAAAGGGAATCATGATCTGGAAAAGTGGAGAAAAGGATAATATTAGAGTTGGCCTTACATTGAAAAATATCATAATTACAGAGGTTACAACAAAACAGGGAAGGGGTCATATTTCCCACAGAGATCCCCAAATAGGTTTACCGGTTATATTAAAGTATTCTACTTTGTGGAGGAGATTGGGGGAGAGTTGAAGGAACAAAGAAAAACAAGCAAAGCCTCTCTCTGTTCCACTCTAGCAAATCACTGCTGGATCAAACAACATCACCACATAAAATGGTATCACAATGCTATAACAAAACTCTACTTTTCATTCACAGAAGTAAAATATGCTGAAACTATAACCCTTCTGTCTTTACATGTGAACTTTTAAATGGCAAATAGGACCTCTTACCAATAAAATCATACTAACTTCAAGAGAAAGAAAAACTTAGTCAAGATGAGGAAGGCACCAAGAACAACAAAGTATCAAGAATTGAGATATAAAATTGTACAACCATATAATCTGACTGTGCTAGCTATTGATCAGTTAAATTATTACCTGATAAGTCATGGACAATGTATTAGGCAAAGAAGAGGATAAGTTTTCTTTGGACATTGTTTCTTTAAAAATTAGAATTCATTGGCTGATCCTTCTAGGAAGGCAAAATAAGTCTAAGCACAGATTTTATTTTAAAAAATCAAAGGAAGCAGAAGAAAAAAAAACCTTTATTACACACCACTATTAAATCACTACATTTCTGAAAGTCTATTAAAACAGAAAACTGTACCTCATTGGGAAAAAATTTGACATGGATATTATACTTTCGCAGCCGATGCCTGAATAATACCATATCATTTCCAGGAATATAATTATATTGGCACACAATAATCATTTTATTCTCAAGAAATGTTTGTTTCACTTGACGCAATAACAGTCTTTCATAGCCAGTCTCCTGTAAGAGAAAAATGGATTTGCAGTCTTGAAAATACAGACAATAAAAACTCTAAAAAATTATATTCCATAGCTACAAAATACCAATGGATTTCAGAAATATAAATTCTGATTTTTTTTTTAATTTAATTTGATTCATATGCCGCCCTTCTCTGGAGACTCAGGGAGGCTTACAATGTGTTCAGCAATATTTATTCACCAAGGTAAAATGGTTATTCTCTCTCAGCCCAACTCATCTCACAGGGTTGTTGTTGTGGAGAAAATTAGAGGAGGAATTTGTGTTGAATGGTTTTGCTAACTTGAGTTATTTGTAAAAATAATAAAGGCAGGATATTCATAAAGATAAAATAAAATGTTCCTCTAATTATAACAACCATTCATACTTTTTCAGAAGCAAATTAAAATCTTTATTTTATACTTAATTAGCTTTTTCTCTCTGTGATATCAGTTAAATTAAACCTATCAATCTAGTTAGGTGTATGTTACTTCAAATTCTGTTCAAACTTAAGCAAGGCCCACAAGCTTGATTTAAACAAGTTCCATTAGAGTTATTGCTATTTGAAAATTAAATAAATAACATATCCAAGAACATTCTACCACTATTTTGGAGGTATGAAAATTCAAACTTTGTGTAATTACGTAAGATTAAACGAAATAAATACAAATCAAGTTGCAGAAATTCATCTGTCATTCCATCACAAAGGAAAGCAAAATGTCTATCTGGATGGTAATATGATAAGTGGATGCTTTTGTTGTTGAGCAAAAACAAATTCAGTCTTTCTTCCAAAATCAAAATACAAATAAAATTGAGATGTTCAGTTTACTGAATCCTGCTTTACAATATTACCGTGTTTTCCCGAAAACATGACATGTCCCGAAAATAAGGGCAAGGCTGATTTTTGGGCTGGGCATAAATATACGCCCTTCCCTGAATATAAGCCCTAGTGAAGGGGTGAGCATGGCCAGCACAGGAGGCAGCCCTTCCCTTCCCTGATCACCTCCTGGAGGTTCAACCCCATAATTGCTGCCTACTGATCAGCTGAGCCAGCGAGGGCTGTGCAACTCGACCCAGATCTCCAGAGCACTTCCCCAGCTGCCAGCCTCCTTCCCCTTTTCCTGCCGATCTTTTTTTCTTTGGGATCGCAGCACAGACGCCCATGACAGGATTGCAAGGCTGAAGGCTTCGGATGGAGCAGTTTGGCCATGTGTGTCTGTGCTGCGATCCCAAAGAAAGGATAGGCTGCAGGAAAATCCCTTTTTTCCTGCCGATTGTTTTTTACTTGGAATCGCAGAGGGAGGGATCCCAAGGCAGCCACATCCCTTCACTAACCTGCTTTCCAGCTCCGTTCTCCAATGTCACATGCAGGGCAAGAAAAGTAGTCTGTGGGACTATGGTAAAAACACATTCCAACTTTTTTTTTTTCCTTCATGAGAAGTTGGAAGTTCTGAACCAGCGGTATTTTTTATTTTATTTTTTTTACCAACAGACTATTTTTCTTGTCCTGAACGCGCAGCGGAGAACAGAGCTGGAAAGCAGATTAGTGAAGGGATGTGGCTGCCCTGGGGGGAAGGGGGAGGGTTTAGCATGGGTGGCCTGGCTGAAGGGCCTTTAGGTAAGCCGATGTGGGGCCTTGGGGCAGCTCCGCAGCCCCTGCCTTGCTTTGTCCTCCACCCTCCCATCTCCTTGCTTCGTTCTTTGCAGGCTACATCGTTACTGTGAAAGGCTGCACGTTGCTTCTGGGCAGGAGAGGCTTAGTTTTCTTCCCTCCACTGTTTCTCTTTTTCTCTCTCTCTGTTACTTACACACACACACACACACACACACAGAGAGAGAGAGAGAGAGAGAGAGAGAGAGAGATTTGATCTCTTGAACTGCCGCACACTTTTCACCCAGAGGGAGACGAAGCGGGTGAAAAGTGTTTGGGGGCCCAATAGGTGTTGGCCTGCATTGTCAAATGTTTGGGCTGCTGAGCGCCAGCCTGTATGCCTATTCAGTGCTGCAGGGGCTGAGCTACAGCTACAGGGAAGCTTTTCGGGCTCTACCCGTTGGCTGCTGCAACTCCAGCTCTGCCCACAGGTGGTCTGAGACTTGCAGCACCCACCAGACCCAGCTTTGTAGCCTGGCAGCTGCAGCACCAAGTACGCATGCAGGCTGGCGCTCAGTAGCCCAAAGGACACGCCTTCCTGCTGGAGTTCCGTGTCCAGCCAGGGAGCGGTTCCCAGGACAGCCCAATTCTCAATCAGCCAGCTGCATGGTAGGAGGGGCTTCCTGCCCACCTGAAAGAAAGGCTGGGTTGCATAAAGGGGTTTTCCCCCCCAAGACCCTCTCAAGCACTGGGCTGCGGGCTCCACCCCAGGGAGCCTCAATCGGGCCCAAGCTCTTGGTAACCGATTGAGGTAAGACTGTTCTTGAAGGAGGCATGAGACGCATGGGGCCTCCTGTTGCTTTTGCAGCCTCAAAATCGGCTGCAAAAGCAGCCGTGATTCTTGCCGTCTCTTTCCTCCCACCCCTCGCTGGGCATGTCAGGGCTTCCTGCCCCTCCCTTCTCCCCCTCCCCACCTGCCACCCCCAAATTTTGCCCCAAAATAATAAGATACCCCACCCTCCGAAAATAAGTCCAAGCCTTTATTTTGGGGTTCAAAAAATATAACACAGGTCTTATTTTCAGGGAAACATGGTAATATAATTTAGCTATTAGCCAAGGCAATTGTATAACTTTATAATTGTTCAAAAATGGGTATCTTTGATGAGTCATCAGTGCAAGTTAGCTTCAGCAAATTATCTGAATGCCAATAGTGCTCCTGGCTTTATAGGGTTTCTATCATTCATCTCTGATCCACAATTCTAAATGATAAAACCATGTATGACAAGATCCAATTTTATATACATGAAAAATTCCATAAAACAAATTGAATAAACACAGAGAAAGCCAACAGTGATCTATTCAATTAATTCTTATCTGAGTCAAGCAAATGCTTTCCTGAACATAATAAGAAAGATAGCTAAAATACAGATGATCTAGGATGAGGAAAATATTTAAATTCAGATAATTGAGTAGAATAGCCACTGATTTTAGTGGAGCATAACCAAGGATATGAAGGGAAGTTCTTTATGGCTTTACAGTTGAAGAGCAGCACAAATTAACTATCTCCCAAAGGTCAGGAGGGAGCATAGCACCAAATACTTAAGTCATTATTAGAATAATGTGGCTATCTATTAAAGAACAGAAATGATATGAATCCTTCCACAATTGGCAGAACTATGAAGGGCAAAGTATAAAAGGCATTTCAAGAATTTTAATCACAAATGAGTATTTATATCATTCCAACCATCCCAAAATAGAACAATGTTATTACTTCTTTAGGAAGAATGACACGGGGTTTCATACAGGTCTCTGAATCCAGAGGTTTTGGTGGGATGTACTCAGTCACTGCCATCAGCTTTTGCCTCATAATGTGCATCGGTTTCCAGTGACGTGTGACAGATTTGGAGCCATGACGAATAAGCTGCAAGGTAGGCAGCCAGCCTAGACCTAAAGAGCAACAGGAGAATTAGACTACAGTACAAATTCCAAATATAGGCAAGTGGGCTCTTATGTGACCACTATTTTCAAGACAACAACTTCATAAGAATCAAAGGATCCTAGTATTACAGAAAACTAAAGAGTCCAGCAATGTACAGATCAATTTATATAAATAATTAAGAACATTTTTTAATCATAAAGCCATCAAGAATACTCTTGAAAATAATAACTCCTCACACTGAAGCCTTCTGTAAGATATTTAGGCTTAGTAATGAGTAAGTATCATGGGTATTAAATTTTGGACTGATTAATAGTACTGGTTAGAATTTGCCTATAAAATCCATCTAAAAGATTTGGCTTCTATTATCCTGAAGTTTCCTCAATAAAGGAAGCTTTCAGGAATTATTTATAGAAAGAATAACAAGTATCATACCACTTTTAAATAAATCCATCATGATTTTAGCTATATCATTTGTACTTCCCTTTTAAGGTATATAATCTCTTAGAAAATAAATACAGGTAATTCTCAACTTATCACAATTGCGCTCAAAATTTCTGTTGTTGAACAAGACATATGTTAAGTGAATTTTGCCCCAATTTACAATCTTTCTTGCCAGTTTTTAAATAAACATGCAAATGTTAAATTAACAACACAGTTAAGTGAATCTGGCTTCCCTGTTGACTTTGCTTGTCAGAAGGTCACAAAAAGTGGTCACATGACCCTGGGGCACTGCAAGTCATAAATATGAGTCAGTTGACAAGTATCTGAATTTTGATCACATGACCATGGGGATGCTGCAAAGATCATAAGTGTCAAAAGTGGTCGTAAGTCACATTTTTCAGTGCTGCTGTAACTTTGAACAGTCACTAAACAAAGTGTTGTACATTGAAGACTACTGGTACATAAAAGGCATAAAACATGAGAAAAACTCTCTTAAATCTAAACAAATATTTATACAATATTTATACAATTTAGATTGCTTAGCTTAGAAGGTAAATAGGAAAAGAGAATATAAGAAATATTTATAAAGTTCTATATGGGAATAAAACAATTTTTTTTTAAAACCAACTCCCGGTTATACCAAAGAAACTGCTTTGAATGCCTTCATCCATTGAAACTCCCACAAATTTCATTTCCAGTAGGACAATTAAATAAAAACTACTTTTTTATAATAATTAAATACTTTTTTATACTAATTAAAGAAATCATTGGAGAACAATGGTTGTTTTATGTTTGGGGGAAGAGAATAGTAATCATTGTTTGTATACAAATAAAATATTAAAAGTCTGGAATCTATAAATCAATGGACAATTTATTGAAAGGACCAAAACTCATAACAATTGCTTACATTAGGTATCATAAAAGAAAATTCAAAGCACTTTTTACGATTAAAAAAAAAACTTTATTTTGGATACTTTGCCATAACTAGTGCACCGTACAGCATTATACATAATATCATCTACGTAATTGTATAAGTATTTCCCAATATTAAAACCTGCTTGGAAAACAAAAACCCGATTCCCCCACCCACCCAAAGACTCCTATCAATTACAGGAGACAGGCCAATGTCGAAAGCTCCTTGTTACCCCTGCTTTGCCGAGGTGTGAATAGTTGAATAGGCCAAAACTGCGTCAGCCCAAAATTTACAAAAAGTTCGAATTTTTGCGACGTGGGCGAAAGATCGGCAAAGAAACTCAAGCTGAATTTCAACAGTGTCTCTTGCCGCCACAGAAGAAGATGAGAATTCATCGCATACCAGATAAAGTGATTTTCAAGCCACAATGACCCATAATAATTTCTCTGGAGGCGGAAAAGCCCTCCGATTTTTCATTTTCCCTTACCGGTTTTACAGATCCTTTTACCCCAACCGCCAACGGCAGCCATTTCCTAAAAACGTGGGATGTCAGAATAGAGCATCACGGGAGTGGAGATTTAAAGGGGAAGGGAGCCCTTTTCTCTCAGCCCTGCCTACCCTTCAACAGAAAGACTCTTGTCTCCTAGCAACGAAGGAGGCTCGAGACGACGTCTCGTGATCAACCCTCCCTCAGGCTTCTCTCGCTCTCCGAGTCCTTGATGACTGGGGAAGAGATACAGAAAAACCTTTGCTTTCTGCACATATGGTAGCCCTAACGATTGCTAGTGGCACCCGTAGAAAGAGGCAGAGGTGCCACACTTCAGTTTTACAACAGTTTATTTGTTAAAAAAAAAAAAGATGAATAAGCCCGTTTCACCCTAGATCGGTATTTTTTTTTAACCTCAGCCACGTTAAGATGTGTGGACTTCAACTCCCAGAGTACCTCAGTCACAGAATGGCTGGTTGAGGAATTCTGGGAGCTGAAGTCCATACATCTTAAAAGTGGCTGCGGTTGAGAAATACTGCCATAGATGTTGCCAAGGTCCACACCACTAAGTCCTTGGGTGGATATCCACCCCCGTAAGGTACCTTTACAAATTGTCCTTCCAAGCTGCTGCTACCATATAAGCAACTGAATCTCCCAGGCTAAGTTTGTTTTTTGTTTGTTTGTTTTTTTAGTGGGGGGACACACAAAGACTTTTGAACGTTGCCTATGGCTGTTTTCTTTGGTTGCTAAGTAAATACAAGGGATTGTTGTGGTAATTCTTGCCCCCTCCCTCCGCTAGCTGCAGACCGTTTCCATGAAGATTCTGAATCTGAAACTATAGCTGTTGCAGACAAGCTTCCCGTCTCTTTTCTAGGAGACAGATATTCATTTTTGGGCATCAGGAGGATTCATCAGTCATGCCAGGAGGTAAGTCCTCCACCTTGAAGGTATCTTAAAAATTCAAGGTAATGAAAATTTAAAGAACTGAACTATTGTATTGCCATTTTTGAAAATTCATTTAGTTATCAATCCAATTCACATGGCCACCCATCTCACAGAAAATGACTCTTGAGTGGCAAGAGCAATCCAATAAAAGAGTAAAATAAATAAAAGTTAACATTTCACGGCTATAGAGGAGCAAAAAGGGTCACTTTTAGGCAAGAAAGGAATGAGAAGCAAGGGAGATAAGGTGTGCCAATTAGAAAGTGGAAAATCAGGCTATGTCTTATTAAGAAAATAAAAATAGAGACTGTTAGAATTAGTCATGTGCAAACTAATTGTTTATATCTATAGTGACCGTATTTTCTTGGGGGGGAAAATAAACTTGAAAAGGGAACAAATTCTTTTCTAAATCTCAAGGATAAAAAAATTAACTGTGTATAACTTTGCTTTACAAAAGAAAATTCAAGAGCAAAACCAAGAAAATAAATAAATCTAAAGATCAGTTTTCTGAAATGAAGTACTGTCCTTTATAATAACTTATGGTCACTATATTGATATCTGACTGTAAAAAGTGTGTTGCACTTCCAGCATGGGACTAAAAGCTCTTGACTTGTGCATTAAATAAACCTTTCAACACTGAATTACAATGTGTGTTGTCTTGATCTGAATAAGGAACAAATCATAGGGGATTTGTTACAAGAAGGGGAGTCCTTTGCTAATGCCTGGATTCAAGAGGGGAAAAAACAAGAAGACACGCAGAAGTCTGGGTTTTCTATAATATGTAGTATTCGTGAAAGATCCAAGATCTTGAGTAGTTGCTAGATTGCTAGCATATTGTATTGTAATGGAAATGACAATTGTTGATCTGTTTAGTATGGCAGGAGAGTGGAGAGATAAGGAATAGTTAATGTCCTTAAAAGACTACATCTGTGAACAATGCCATCTAATCACATTGTGATCTTACTACACAACAGACTTCATGAGAGGACACACAAAAATCCCATGTAGCTAAAAGCCTGAGATTCTACTGAGAGGGGTCTTGCTAAGATTCAAGAATAAAAGAGATTGTCCAATTCAGATTTTGACTGGATTTATAAGGCTGTCAAACTCAAACTGGGTGGTCTACAAGAAAAATCACCATAACCATATTACCATATTTTCATTGAACAATACATGTATGGCTGCAAACTTCATTCACCAGTCAGAAATCTGAATGGTTCACATTTGATTCAAAGTAAGAAAAGAAGGTTCAGATCTTTCAACATTTTTAAATGAATAGACTCCTGGCTTTGATTAGGAAATTATGCAAATGCAAGTCATATGAGTTCCAGGACCCTTTTCTGTACCAATTCCCACTAAGAAACAAAATCAAGGCTACACAGTGTCTCTGCTCAAATTAAATATCCACATTCATTAAATCTAAAAGCTGACCTAACTAGTTCAATGTAGAACTGAAACAATAAGCAATATCAACCTTCATAGTAATCAAAACACTATTTCCAACTAAATGAGGGATAGTTCCTATATATATTTATTTCCCTTATGGCATGGATAAAACTAAACAAATTAAACATTACTCATAAATAAATGCAAATATACATGTCCCAGGATAATGTTGCAGAATCCAATCTGAGTCAGTCACCAGGACTAGAGGTTTGTTCTTCCAAGCTTTTGAATTTGCACAGAAGCCTATCCTCAGAGACTTCTCAATCTCCAGGATGTGTGCACTGGAGTGTTCTATGTAATAAATATGTGGTACCTGTGGCTATGTGGCTTTTAGTTGTTGATTGGACCATTGATGACTGGCTATTAAGTCATTGATTGTTGTTCCCTTGTGTTGCTGCACCCTCAGCTCCTAAGTACAATACCTGGTAAGCTGGTGGTAAATCAGCACATTACTGCCATTTTTTATTCTTTATTATTGTTTTCACTTTTCTGTATTTTTTTTTTTTTGGAAGTACATTTACATGTAGTCCTTGAGTTACAACCACAATTGAACCCAAACTTTATTGCTAAGTGAGACAGTTGTTAATTGACCTTTGCCCCATTTTACGACCTTTCTTGCCACAGTTGTTAAGTGAATCCCTGTAGTTGTTAAGATAGTAACATTCACAAAGTATATCTGGCTTCCCCAGTCGCAAGAGGCTAACACGACACTGCAACTGTCATAAATATGAGTCAGTTGCATCTGAATTTTTATCATGTGACCATTTTTTAAAGTGCAACTTCAAACAGTCACTAAATGAACTATAAGTTGAGGACTACCTAATGACTTTTGAAAATCATTTTGTTGTTGTTTGGTAGATAAATTACTCATCCATTATATACTTCCTGTAAGATTTATTCTCTTAATATGGACTGATTGAAATCAGTGGGATTTACAGATTAATTTGTGCCATTCATTTCAATGGGTTTACTTTAAGTATGATTAAATCTGATTAACTCTTATTAAAAGTAATCATGTCTCAGGTAGTTTTTTCCAGCAGTAATAATAACAAAATTTTGGCAAATAAAACTATGCAATACAATCTATAAGTAGAGATGTAGAATCTTTCTTATGAACCCTCACAATAACAAGGTTTGCTTTTATCATGACACGGTTGTGTAGCTGGTATGCTGATTTAAACCTAGATAAACCAGAACCCTTTGTTTACTTGTTTTCAGCAAATTTACAACCTTCTACTGAAGGAGTGTGCTTGACAAAATCTCTTATTGTCCAGAGGAACATGCCACTACCAGTGAAGAAAGAGGACCCAGAGAAGATGTGAGTATTCCAGCTATTGTTTAAATTGATACAGAACTTTCTTTCAGGTGCTGGTAATACTTTGGCAGGGGGGAGGATGGTGGAAAAGAGAAGAGGTATGTTTGTGGCTGACAAACATATTTCCAATTTCAGATCTGAAGCCTTGACTTCTGTACAAGTCCTACGGCTAGATAGGGAGAGAATTAGCTGCATTGCCAACCTGCCAGAATTAAAACATGTCCACAGCATCTATTTACAACAGGTAACATACTCTGCTACATTCTTTGCTACTGAATGCAATACTATCTTTGAAAGGCAATATTTTCTTTTTCTTTCTTTCTTTCTTTCTTTCTTTCTTTCTTTCTTTCTTTCTTTCTTTCTTTCTTTCTTTCCTTTCCTTTCCTTTCCTTTCCTTTCCTTTCCTTTCCTTTCCTTTCCTTTTTCTTTCTTGGCATTTGAAGCATGTGCCAATAGCTGCATCCCAACTCCCTTTGAAAAAAGTTGGGAATGATAGCAACATTCTATCATAATTGGAGTACTAGGTTAGAGAAGCCTGCTTTAAAAATATTTCAAATTTCAAGATTTCAGGGTCTGAAAGTATCACTACAAATACACACAGAAAAAAATCCTAGAAGTAGTGACAGATCACTGTTTTAATATGATTTATGTGCTCGGTGTCTTGCCTATTTTCTTTGTTGTTGGGCTACTGAAGATGTACACAAAAATAATATTTAGCAGAATTCATAAAGGAGATATCTTAACAGGGTGAATTAGAATTTGGTTTGGTGGTAATCTTATTTTTATTTTTAAAGCAAATACTAAATCCGATATTTATCTATTGCCATAAAGGGCAAAATATTTTCCTTGGATTCAGATTGGGTGTGGTCTTTCCAAAATAAAGATAATCTGCCATTCTTAATAGTATTTTTTACAATGCTTTATAAGGATACAGCAGGAAAATGCATCAGGAAAATAGGCAGCAGAGATATCCACAAATAGATATACATGTCCAACTTTCTTCAGATGTTTAGGATGACAGCCCTGTTGCTTTTATAGATAAAACAGTACTATTCAGAAGGTGTCTCAAGGACTTCAGCGACCTAATAGCTAGAAGACTCATTTTCAAAGTCCACACACACATATTTATATACAGTGAATTAATCTTTCCCAATGCCCTTCCTGCATTTAATAACATGCTGAGACTTGTGCTATTTTCATTTTTAGAATCAAATAAAGAAAATTGAAAACTTAAACTGCTTTCCAAACTTGAAGTAAGTATATTTTTAATTTACATGATTTAAATCATTAAAAAGGGAAGCTGGAAATATCTTCCTTAGTTTATATGGAAATAAAACAATTCAATGTGCATTTAGTCCAAGTGGCTGTGATAAAATAAATTATGGTAAAATATATACATCAAATGATAACAATGGATGAAATACCAGTACTTCAAACCAATCACGTTGTTTATCATTAATTTTGGATGGGGTTTCATTACCCCAGGCAGACCTGGGGCACAACTTGGGGATCTTCCTAGTCTCATGACTCCTGCTCAAAGAGCAGGCAGCAATCATAGCTAGGAAGGCTTTGCACAATTTTGCATTGTGTACCAGTTCCCTTACCTGGATTATGAGGCCCTGTGCATAATCAGTTATTCCCTAGTCATTTCACAGCTGGATTACTGCAACATGGGGCTTAAGAAATTGCAGCAGGAGCAAAAGGTGCAGAAAGTAGTGGCGCCTGGAAACTTCTGGGCCTCACATATAATACAATTATTGTGCGAACTGCATTAATTACCAGTTTCCAGAATATTTGAGGAGCCATCTCTCCCAATGGGACTAGCCTGCCCCACTTGCACTAATGGAAGAAGCCTGCTATGGATCCCATCTGCTAAGAAATTCCAGCAGGCAGATTTAAGTAGAATAGTCTTTTCTATCATGGCCTAATTTCTATGGAAGACTCTACTATCAGAGGCAAGAACGCTCTCAGCCTTTTGGCTTTCTGGAAAGGTATTAAATTGACATTGCTGGTTGACCTGAGCCCTAAGGGGGATGCTCATTGCTGGAGATGGTTGACAGAGTAAGACCTCAACCCATCCTGTCTTTCCCTTAGTTCTGGTTTCATTATAGGTTTTTAAAATTTTAATTTGTATAATTATTTTTCTACTTGATTTATAATCTATAAGCCATCCAGAGTCACCTTGCAGGGGAAATGGGTGTCATAAAATTTTAATAATCATGTATAAATGAAGGTATAACTATGTCCACATATTATATAGTCCCACCTGCTTTTTCTGTCAATTAAATCAGGTAATCCATTTTTTGTGTAAGTTTTAGAGAAATAACCTGCAGCTTAAACACTGAGAAAGTTGTGTGTGTTGCGAGTGCGTAATAACTTAAGTAGAATAAGCTTCAGTACCCAAAAAACCACCCACTCTTCTCTAGGCTTGTTTATGTCAAGAATAAAAGGCCTATGTCTGATGTGTAATATTATATCTACAGATGGGATCATCCCTAAATTAAAAAGTATTCAGCATAGAACACTAACATGGTTATACCTTATTTTGGCTTGCTAATTTTTTACATGATTGAAATATACTTATCACTTCATTGAGAACTAGACCAATTTTAAAATCAGACGGATTCAGAAATGAGAATAAAAAACTTGTAGTTGATTTCTAGCCCTGACAGGTAATGAAACACTCACTTGGCTTTAAGAGTTGGATTATAACTCTCTCTGGTGGTGAGAAATAGATTGCATGTTTTATGACGTCATCACCCATTAGTGCATCATAGCTTCAGTATATTTCCCTTTTTCTGAAAGGCAGTGTCTTACTATTGTTTGGCTTAAGGATTTTACAACTTCAGTGTCTTGCCTTTTCACATGCTTCCAGGTTTCTGTCATTATCTGGGAATTACATCAACAAAGTAGAGAACCTCCAACCTCTCCTCAAGTTGAAATTTCTGGATCTTTCACAGAATTGCATTGATACTTTAGACATAGGTTAGTCTATGTCTATTCCTCTGTTCATCTTTGCCATCTACACCTGCCATCCTCAAACTTGTGTTTTCCTGGTATGTTGGAAATATAACTCTCAATAACCATTATCAACCATCTGAATTATGAGCGATTTAACATCTACTAAAGGGGTGGGCAATTAATATTCCCAAAGGGGGTCACACGAGAAACTGAGGCTACTGTGGAGAGCTGAACCAACAGGCTGAATCTAATTCTGCTCGCTTGTGTGCATATTGCACACTTACTGACATTTGATTTCTAATTTTCAACTAATCTCACATAGGCTGGATAGGGATAGTCAAAGGGTTGAATGTTGCTCAGGGGCTGTAAAATGCCTAGGTTTGCTCTACAACTAGAAAAATTGGATTAAACGATGTGGATCAGTACTTATATTCCTCCATGGGTTGTGAAAATATTGTATGAACCTATACTATAGAACACTATATTGTTGAAATTCAGCCTTTCACTTTGTAATATTAAACCAGATATGTGAGGTATTTATTTAGCAATTTAATAAAATAATAGTTGCATTTTGAGTTTGATCATACTTCATGAAAACATGAACCAGTCCCCTGCATCTCCAAAAAATTCTGTATCAATCTGTATTCATTTGCACTCCCACCAGCTTCCTTATTTATACCTTCTGGTTTATATAGATGAGCTGCCCCTGAACCTTGCAATCCTTGACCTGACTGGAAATAAATGCATGAATCAAAAAGGCTACAGGTAAAACCAGGAAAACAATCATACTGATTCATAATAACTCATCCTGTAATTACTTTTTCTAATTTCTTGTCCTTCAAGCTGAATTTGGAACTTTCTTTATCCCAGCCAGCATCTACTATCTACTATCTGGAAGGTATTAAGTTCAGGAAGGTAGCACCCCATCACTAAGGCCACTGCAGTATCATAGAATAAGGCAAACAGGGTGTTCTGAATCCATTAAGAACATGGGAAAGGAGGTAGGATAGTTGGCTGAGTAACTCTGGGAGTTGAAATCCACACTTTGCCAATGTTCAGAAACACTGTGTAACTTATAGCATCACTTTAATTTAAATCAAAACAAAAAAATGAATAATTAAATATAAAAGATCTTGCCTCCCATTTTCATTAATTACCAAAGAACAGAGCACAGAGATGAACTTTTATTTTCAACTTCATCAGCCTTGTATTTCCATTTCTAGAGACTGTGTGTTGGCAGCTCTGCCCCATCTGATAGAACTGGACCACAAAGGCATCCCAAAGCAGAAAGACATACTCCAAAATAATGAAGAGGAGGAAAATAGCTCAGAAGAGAGTGACTATGAGGACTGTCCAGAACTCTTTCAGCCGCTGAGCACAGAAAAAGGTATTCCAATTGCAGGGGCAGATTTCAGGTGTTACATCAATGTGAAAGCAAAGATTTTCAGTTCTGCAATAAAAAAATACTTCTGAAGATAAGTGATAGTGAATATTGTTACTATTGAAGGCATCAAGAAATACAGATTCCCTTGATGTTTCCTAATCTTAGGGTCATTCATTTTCAACCTAACTTACCTCACAAGAACAATGGAAAAATAAAACAAAGGGGGAAATCATGCTGGTTAAAAGCAAAAATACACAGGGAATAAATATTATGCACAGTAAAGAAGTATAACCATTACAAATATAGTCCTTGTTATTATCAATTGTTGTGACATTTACCTTCACCAAGAACCTCTTTTATTCCCAAAGTAGAGATGAAAAAAAATAGATCTGGTAGATATTAATCTTTGTTTAAAAACTAGTAAGATTAGATGTATTTTAATTATATTTATATTACATTTAATATTTTGATTAAAACTGTTATTTTTAAGAGACAATGGAGACTTTGAACAACTTCTTGGCTGAGCTGATATTTATTCAAACTGCCGTGATTTCTTTAATAGATGCCGCAGTTATAACCCAAAACTGAACAAGTCAGCACTCAATGAAGAAACTTTCTGTACTTTTAGCTTCTTACTTTTAGCTTTTAGCTTTATCTTGAGCCTGACCCTTTGGCTTATTTGTATCCATGTTAACAAAAGTGATTTGTATTCCCAATTCTGCAACTTCTATGCAAATTTTCTGAAAACAGTTAATTTTTTTATGAATGGATTATGGCGATTGCAACTTTATTATAATTCTCTTTTTTTGCTAGACTTTTTTGTCGATCTCCATAATGAATTCAGTAGCCGCTCAGCCCAGCGGAAAGAGACAGCAGTGAGGGAACACAAAGACCGTCTGGAAGAGTTGAGGCAACGACAGAATCTGAGGCAGCTTGTGTTCAACACCAGTGAAGATAGAACTGAACCCCTAAGTTTACCAGAATCAAGATCTCCAGTTCTAAATGATTTACCTCAAACTGCGAACCATATGGTTTTGAATCCACCACAAAGAACAGCGAATCCAGCAGTTGATGCAGGACTGAATATTCCAAAGGAAAAAAATGAAGGAACAACTCAGACCCAGCAGAAAATATCAAAAGGAAAAATATCTAGTGCAGCTAAAGCTGCAAACAAGAACATAAGAAAATGATATTTTGTTGAAATATTATTTTACTTATGTAATTATTTTATTTAATCAAACAAATATATTTCCTTTCACTTGTGAAGCATTGTTCTTTTTTTTTTAAAAAAAACAAGCTATTATGAACTGTTAAAGGAGGTGGGAATATGATTGCCAGTCAGAAAACAAGAAAAATGTGTGGTCTACATAGTAAATTGCAAGAAACACTTCTACTGATGAAAAAGGGAGGGGCAGGGAAATTAATAGCAGGTATACTCATCCCTCTGAAATTTTCTTTCTAGTGAAATATAATGACTTTTCTGTGCTTCTTAATATTTGTACAATGATGAATACTAATTTATCTTTGAGACATCAAAAGTCCCAAGAAAAATACTGAATTATAAAATTGCACCTAGAAATCTTCAGGAAATTCTAAATCTACTAGCAAAACATGATTAGGAACTAAAATTGTTTACATATATCTGAACCCAAATGTTTGTATGGGATTACATGAATTTGTCTCTTTCTTTCCAAATTAGTCAAGTTTCATGTGTATACTAGAGACAAATTAGAGTGCACCTAAACCTACAGACAGCCATAAATTCTCTGCATTTAACCCTGAAATGTCTGGTATGAGATAATACTTAATTGAGAAACTAACTCTGCTCCAAAGTTTCTTTTCAGGAAAATGAGTTTGTAAGTCAAACCAGCAAAAAACTTTGCAGGTTTTTGTGAAACCTGGAAAGTTTTATAACAGTTCTAAACTATTTCACATTTATCGCTAAATTAGGATGTCTTTATAATGGTTTATTGAATACACTACCATTAATCCTATAGAAAGGCATATATAGTAGTGTACTATGCTAATAAAGCAGTTCGTGTCATTTTGGCATAAATGTTATGTGATCACTGTGGTTTAACATACTGTATATTATAATTAACATGTATGTGCAAATAAGACCAAAACATTATTTTGACATTTAATGAATAACTATTGGGGGGGGGGGGTTGATTTTTTTTTAAAGGGGATTTTAGGTTTTTTCCCTAGTCCTATTCCTTTGCAACATGATCCCATCTCCTGCCACATCAGTTGTAAGACCCACAGTGACATCACATGCACTTTGATGTCATTACACACAAGACAAATAATTCATTTAATGTACACATTTATGTTGTAATGCATACAATGCCATTCCTCTGCTTGTCTCCTAAAGATTCCAATGACCTTAACCTCCCAAAACTGATACTGTAAATGCTATTCCCGTTCTTGATATTTATAAGTCCCCAGATGTCATAGATTATTCATAGGAATTCAAAAGGGTACTCAGTTTAGTGGACAAACCCCAAGGAAGTCTTACATAACTAGAGCTAAATGCTTCTATTGGTTTATCTCCAGAGATGTTCTGTTTTTAGTTATATTATATCTCTTTTAATTTTTCCTACCCTAACCCACTTTTTAATTATGACACAAACCCAAAATGAGAATACAAAAAAACACCACTACTTTGTAAAAAATTAATAAAACATATGTTGCAATAAAAGTGTCCTTAAAATTCCCAAAGAGTTAAAACCAATAGTACCAGACAGAAATCTTGTACTCATGCCAATGGCTGTAATTTCCAGAACTTAGTATATAATTGCAATCTAAGAGCATTACCATTACAGTTTTCATTCTTTCATTCCCCAGCAACATAAAGGCAATAAGTAACTTTTTCCTTAAATCAACCACATGGCCAAAGGACTGGAAGGTAATCTAATGTGATGCTAATCTTTAAAAGGAACCCAGGGAGATCCCATAAATTATATGTTTGTCACATAACATCTGTTCCAGGCAAATTGGTAGACATGTAATTAAAGAAAAACAATTAAGCAATAAATAATTTGACATAGAGAAAAAAATCTTGCTGAAGGAAAATCTGCAGAGATTCCACAGATAAAACCTGTTTCACGAACCTTCTAAAGTTGACAGTTTCAACAACACTTATGAAAAGCTGAGTAAATTTAGCAGACGTAAAGTAAGAGGATCTGCCCTTTTATGGACTGCAAACTAAAGGCAGAAAGAAATGAGTAGGAATGAATGGGAGGTGAAGTTCTTCAAGGATTTGTGTTGGGGCTAGTGCTTTTTAATTTGTTTATAAATGAAATACCTTTGAGATGGGGTAAACATAAACAGTATATTTAAATAAATGTAAATAAATGTAAGCTTATTTGAAATGCTGAGAACAGGAACAGAAGTCAGCTAAAGCTCAAGAGCTGAGAGTCACCTGAAAACAAATATTTCTTTCAGTAAGGAAACAAATTCATAAAATAAAGAAATCCTAGCTTTTCTCCAGTTTCATCTATACAACAACTAAGAGAAGAAATAATTCAGCTCTTCACTATTACTGACATGACACCCAGAGATTATGATCTACTATTAGAGTGGCTCAGAACCCTTTATAGAAACCCTAAAAAGAAGAAAAATTCAGACAATCTGTCAGTAGCACAAGGATTAAGACTCAACCCACCTGGCCATTAAGTCTACATCACCTATACAGTTTGAGTTCTGCATCCACATAATTACAAAAGAGTCCAGCCAGTTCCTGGGGTTTCACAGTGACAGAGCCTGTTGATACATTTTTCACACTTTCCAGAACTTGCTGCTGAAATGTTTTCATAGCCTCCTGCAGTTTCTGCTGTTCAAGCTGGGAATGAAGGAGAGAAAGGATAGTATATGAACAGAGACTCATAAGATGCTGTTTTTAATTACAGCATTGCTTTGCCTGATGAAAATTGGAGCAGATGAACTCCAAAAGCAAATCCAAAAGCTGGCAAAAAATGCTAGGAGATTGCAATGTGCTACAGGGAGTGGGGCCAAATCCTCACCCATGCTAATTTAAAATCTCAAGTAAAACAGAACGGAAGGTGAACAAACTAAAAATAATAGACAATACAGGATATGGAAAAGCAATACTAAGCAAATTACAAGACTTTAATTCATCATCATCTCTACTTCTAAGTTGCTCATGTATTCTGCAGATCTAATGTCCAGAACTTTACCAAGAGGGGAAAAAAACTTACTTAGCTCTAATTCTGATCTGTTTTAACTGATGGTACTTCCTAATGGAAACATTAAGGGTTTTTTAGGGTTTTTTTTTTTAAAGAGCAATTTTAGAGATGGTTCCTGTTAAGTTTCTCAGTAGTGCCTAAAGCCATTTGGGCAGCTTCAGCTGCAAATGAACAATGAGATAGAGGCAGTTCTCTAGGAATAGCTAGCACGTTATCCTAACCAGGCCAGAAGGCTTTGTGTCTATGGATTGGCTATTGCAACTAAAATATCCGACTGATTAAATTTGTAAGGCAACTACAAAGAGGCCCACACATGTTCCATCAGGACCTCCATCTCAATTCTCCAAGCTATTTGAAGCAAATTATCAAAAACATAGATGGGATTGTGAAAGATCATTTGGTCAAAGATCAATGCTAGTTCTACAAAGCATAATGCAATTAACAAAATGCTAACCCAGTCTCTGCTTAAATGCACCCAATAGAGAGGAGCATTCTGGGGCCCTCTGTTTCACAACCCATCAGCTCTTACCTTTTCTTTCTAGCTAATATTTGAATTCCTGCCAATTCCATCCACAGTGCCTTCTAGGAGAGGTAAAGCCTGACAGTTTAAAGTTGTGAGGGCTGCATGAAATAAGTGGAAGTTCACCTGATTACAATCCGTGACTTCCAAGGCTAGCTGATGTTGCTTGTAGAGATTGTGTCGACGGTCCACTTGACTTTGAAATCTCGGAGTCTCCCTAATGGGGTCTTTTTCACCAAAACTTGGTGACTTCACCTGAGGGAAGGGAGTAACATTGGGAACAAAGACAAATGGTTTGAAGATAGACCTGCCAAGAAGAGAAAAAGGAAGCCATTAGTGTGATATTAAAAAATCAGGCTCTCCTATTAATTTAATTTAAAATTTTACAATTGCTAAAGCATGAACATAGAGCAAGAGGAGGGGGGAAAGACTAACACAGCAGTACAATCCAGGCAGTCCTTGGGTTACAGTGCATGACTAGAGGTATGTAACCGAAACTTCACATGAAAGATTGCTCTTTTTCACACATGTGTAGCATGCAATCTGAAGTACAGAAAAATGGCTTAAGGCTAGAAAAGATGAACAGCATCTGCTCCTACATTTGCCTGATTCCTTTCAACTGCAGCCAGAAGCAATGATGAACATGCTGCTCAAACGTGTTCAGATATATTTTGCATCTATTGAAACTTCAAGGGGAGCATTATGAAATGCTGAGGTTGGCAAGAAGAGGCTTAGATTCATTCTCATGTTACTGGGAAAACTGTTTTACACAGTGATAAGAAGGTTAACAAAATTTTCAAAACTATCCATGGGTGCATCAAAAGAGGCTGGCACCTCTTCACTGAGTCAAAAAGAAAATCAGAGACTAGCTGCTTTAAATTGCCTTTGGAAATATGTCTCATTTGAAAGTAAAAATACTTGCTCAAGTTTGTGTGATGTCACATTTTTTTCCTAAGAAATCTTACAAATCTGAGCTCAGAGATATTCATTTCTTCGATGCATTGTTTCCAGTCCTAATTGCTATGAGATGCCTGACATTAACAAAGTCACAAACATGTCCCAGTAACTAGTTTTATATAACATGCTGACACTGTGTCATCTTCAGCCCACCATGGAGGCAGATAAATGTTGTCCCAATTATAAAGTAGCAATCTCCTCTTCTCCTGGCACAATTTTGCACATTTCATTGACAGTGTGATTCCTGATAGGAGATTGGGATCTGCCCACCTTCTTCTGGCCACTTCAGATTATTGGGGAAATAACTCTTACCCTCTCCAGTTTTGGGGCACTGCCTTCTATGAATCACAGGATTTGCCTATGTATTTTCTGACCAGCACTTTCTAAAACAGTTTCTGGGCTTTATGTAACCTCATAATATACACAAGTTTAACACTATTAAGAACTGTTTTTAAAACATGGATTTAAAAAACGGAGGGCTAGCTCTCTTAAGAGAGAATGCAAGTCTTGTGCTGCCTAGAAGAATAATATAAACTGGGGTAAAAAAAAATACAAAAAATACAGTACAAAAACACAACCTG